ATTTAACATTAAATACTGAGCATTTAACATTAAATACTGAGCATTTAACATTAAATACCGAGCATTTAACATTAAATACTGAGCATTAAAAAGTAAATGCCGAGCATTTAACATTAAATACTGAGTGAGCATTTAACATTGAATACTGAGCATTTAACACTCTTAACACTCCATACTGAGCATTTAATACTCCATACTGAGCATTTAATATTAAATACTGAGCATTTAACATTAAATGCTGAGCATTTCAAAGATGACACTGGGAAGCAAAGACTGTGGCGAGCTGAGCAAGCCATTTTTGGCCTTAGGGAGATCTACATTGCGGGTCAGAATATTTTCTCAGTCTGCCGGAGAGGTCAACAAGAATTGCTTCTCCCGTCGTCCGAATGTTTTCATTTAGGCAATGCTATTCTAAGGACCAAGTCAACCACCAAGCTTCCCAAAACGGACACTGCCAACTAGAAATACTGTATATATTTTACCTACAAAAATAACCAACGTTCACAGACTACACACACTTCCATCGCTTAAATGGGAATATTATTTTCTTGGGTGGAAGGGGGAGAGAGAGGAAAAATAGCATGAAATGAATGTTTGTTGTGAGTGGTAGAGAAAGAGGGGGATGTCAGGAGAGAGGGAATACATAAGATTGGGAAATATCAGAAGAGGGTAATTGACGACGAGGGGAGAAGAAGAAAATGCCCCAGCTAGAGGATAAATACCCCAGGAAGAGGGTAAATTCCTGCAGGAGAGGGTAAACGCCGAGATCGAAAGGGGGAAATGCCGGAGTTCGAGACAGTGAGAGAGGTGGTGCTGGGGACCACCTGTTGTACTCTATACAAACTGAAGCATAAATTACTTTTCTAGCTGAAACTGTTATTTATGCGACCCGCTAAACCCATGATGGTAATTCAGTGCAGGGAAGTGTGGAAGCTCGATCCTCCGTTGTGGTTGTCAAGGTCACATGGGAAAGGTTACGTAATCTCTCAACCTCCTCCTCTTCTTTATTCCATCCCTCCCCCACCCTCTTCCTTCACAAGTGTTAAAAGATTCATAATTATTCAGGGATCTCAAAATAAAAATGATCTTGCCTCCTGGAAGTCCCAGACACTTGAGTTTGTGTCTGTGGTCGAGGATGATCCATTGTTTTTCTTCCAGTTCTTGAAGAGCAAGATTGATATCCGGTTTACCTTATAACTGCGAGTTATCGTTAGTTCCCTAAAAACATCAGCGTTCTCACACAGGGCAGTTGAAGTTGAGTGGTGATGAGGTTACCATACAGCTCCTGGGCCGGGCGTTGTAACGGGCCTTCGATCACCTGCTAGTGAGAAGCCAGAGCACACTCCGGCTTGTTCTACTTATTTCACAGTTTCGTTTGGTCGTGCTTCTTGGGGGAGGTGATGGGTGGAGGAGAAATGATCTCCCCAACGAGTCGTTTTTTCACCTTGCCGTCAGCGGTGGTAGTGGTGGGTGCTGGGATATCCTCGTCGCTGTCAGAACCCAGGGTGAGGGCCGGGTTAACACGACCATTCATCTCATCGGTAGAATTGTACTTGACAACGTTGTGGCAGGTCATCACGCTTAGCTCGCCCTCCTGAGGCTCACCCACCACCTGCACGTCGTCGGGAATGTTGATGACGCAGCGGAAGAAGTCGTACTTGGGCGGGAGGCGTCCCGTCTCGAACACCCACCGTGTGAACATAGACATGAAAACAAGGAATAACCCGGAGAGCACCATGGCCAGCGTCCTGAAGGGGAACAGCTGCACTTCATTCTCTTCGTCGTACCAAGGATACCTGACAGGGAGAAGGAAATACAGGTCAACATGTTTACTACAGGAGATTCTCTGGCGCTCTTTTTCATATCTCCTCAATAAACACATTAATTCAGTACTTAGCTGGGCGTGCTGTCCCCTAGCGGGCTCCTATAAAATGCAGAGGCGGACAGGGACACCAGTAAAATAATTAGCATGGAAACTATATTACACACAGAAGCAGTACTCGCACAGTTCTTCCTATCACAAGTAAGTGAAAGACATTGTTGAAGTCCCATTTGTGTTGTTTTGTAGTCTCATTATCCATTTTTAGTAATTGTTATTACTATATTCATATAAAACGCTAAATCCATGTGAGTAATTCAGCGCAAAACATGGTGGAGGCTTGATCCTCCGTCTAAAATGTGTGATACAGACACATTTCCAATCTGTACTCGCCTAGTTGTTCTTAATAAATTTGTAAGAAGCCTTTGCATAGTTCATTTTTCTCCTAATATTTGTTCAATAGAAGAGTCTCTAAGAATAAAAAAAGAAAAAACTGAGTACTGACATGTGTTACTCACTTAATAATGGGAGGGATGCCTATCATGGACTCTCCACCCAGGACTCTCACGAACAACCCTATGATGTAGGCACCGAGGGAGCCGTATAGGTTACAGTGGTCACGGAAGTGTACCACCATCAACAGCTGCGGGAAGAGGATCACGTACACCAGGTCTGAAGACAAGTACCTGTGGGAGAGAAACGAGGGACACTTTAATACAAGACGGGATATGACCAAGGAATCTGTTATGTGTAGCTCCAGACCCGTAGCGGGTCATTCATGTGTAGCGAGCGGCGAAGGCTCGATCCCCTGTTTATCGTGACGTACAGACGTTACCACACATTATACGCATATCCGTCAATCTAAAAACCTTCTTAGGCCACATTCTTAACGGTGATATGTCTCAAAGATTCAGATAGTAACAAAAAAAATAAGAATTTCGTAATTTTTAAAGGGATGTTCAAGGGGTTGCAACATATACGAACATACGTTGGCTGGTCTAGTACAACATATACGCTTGACTGATCTAGTTCAACATATACGCTTGACTGGTCTAGCACAATACTGCTTTCCTAATAAGCAAAATTGGCTAGTTCGACTTAAATTAGCAGGTATTATTTTCTTCTTGCGCTGTAGATGGAAGGGATAGGGAGGGTATTTATCACAGATGAAGGAGATAGTAAACGTGTAATTACCGTAGACGTAGATGGAGGGGATCGAGTGGGAACTTACCACGAATCATAGATGGAGGGAATAATCAGTAGCATACCATAGTTAGAGGGGACGAAGAGAGTACGTAACAGACCGTAGACGGAGATGATAGAAAGAGGTACTTACCATAGATCATAGATGGAAGAGAAGAGGAGAGTACGTAACAAACCGTGGATGGAGAGGATAGAAAGCGGTACTTACCACAGCCCATAGATGGAGGGGATGGTCAGGGCAAGAGTGGTAGCTAGGAACCCAACAATGAAGATGGCCACACGCATCACCCAGATCACTTCAGTCTCACTAGCCTGAGGAGGAAGAATCAGTGGTGAGGTATCAATGAGTCACTCGGCGTGTCAGTGAGGTGCTCACTGTAACTCTCCGAGCTCTCAGGATGAAACTGCGGCACTCAGCCTGTTATTATGGCTCTCTGGGTATCAGTGTATCTGTTGATGTGGCTTTCAGGGTGACGGTGTCTTTCATGATTTCAGTGTGACTTTCAGGGTATTAGTGTGGCTTTCAGAGTATTACTGTGACTTTCAGGGTATTACCGTGACTTTCAGGGGTATTATTATGGTTTTCAGGGTACTAGTGTGACTTTCAGGATAATGGTGTGGCTTTCAGCTTATTATTGTGGCTTTCAGTGTATCAACGTGGCTTTCAGAGGTATTAGTGTGGCTTTCAGTGTATTAGGAGGGCTCTTAGGTTATTAGTGTGGCTTTCAGGGTGTTGGTGTGGCTCTAAGGAGGATCAATGAGGCTCTCAATTTTGTGCACCCACATAATCCCCACCTCCCACTAGCATTAAGCTTACCAAGCCAACTATAGTATTTTAATCTGATTATTTTTCAAGCAAGGGTACCCATCAGTATTCAGTAATAACCCACATGGAGACAGAAACTTAGGAGATTAATTGATCCGTATATTTCGATCCCTTCTGGGATCCCCTTCAGCAGTGTTCAACACCCCCTTCCTCCAAAGCTGGGTTACCTTAACGCACTGGAATGATTTAAGCGGCTTATGGTTAGGGGGTTGGATCCCCCCTCTACATGAGGAGTGCCACTATACTCCTAAGTACCCCAGCTTCTCTTTTGGCATGAATGGTGAGGGATATTTCCACCTTTTGTATGCATTTGCTGACACGGAACGAATTGTGGATATGGATTGTTGTGGATATGGAGTCCGACATCCTATACTAGACCCAGCTATAGCCTGCACCTGTCGTGATGACCAGGTAACTATACTCTTCCGTTTCGTCTGTTAAGTCAGACGGTCAAGTCCCATGTGGAGGATCAAGTCTTCTCGGATACAAAAATATGGCTATGGATTGTGAAATGTGAAAAAAAAAATGATTTCGGTTAATCAGAGTTGCTATCTGATAATGAATATTGCAATACGGTGAAGTCGTAAGGTCAATAGCATGCTGATAGTGATAATGTAAACTTGGTAATATTAATTATAATATAGTGCACTCATCAGCCTACTAAAAAAAGAGCATTAATGATTCTCGTTAAACAGAAAAATTATTTCGTGAAAGCATCGGAAATATTGTCGTCTCGGACTTACTCTTAGCAAGGTATAGTTTTTCCACTTTCTGCTTGAGAAAGGAAGAATTTCTTTACATTCTATCCGAAGAAGGAATGCTCACACTTTGACCGTGAAAGGAAGAATATTCTGCTAATCACATTCTGCCTGGGAGAGGAATATTTTGATACATTCTGCCTGGGAGAGGAATAGTTTGATACATTCTGCCTGGGAGAGGAATATTGTGATACATTCTGCCTGGGAAAGCAATATTCTGCTACTCACATTCTGCCTGAAGATGAGCTTCCAGATATTCCTGGCGAACATGGAGGCTGCTGAGAGGACGGAGGAGTCCGCCGAACTCATGACAGCGGCGGAGATAGCGCCCAGGCCAACGAAGGAGACGAAGCTGGGGGTGAGGTGCTGGATCACCAGAGGCAAAATCATTGCC